CAATCCAGTGCCGCATCTCTCCTCCCCTCAGTGGCTGATTTTTCCTGCGGCCCATCACACGACCTTGTCTACCGGATCTGCTCCCAAAATTACCGCGCTCTTGTCTCTCCCTTGATGCAGCTAATGGTTCCGGGGTTATTGCTTTGCACAGACCGGAAAAAAAAGAGGGGGAGGAGGAAGCCACAAACATTCAAGTTTGCTGTCTTGCCCCGGAGGAGTTCCTATCCGCTCGTTTATACAGCCTCGTTTTGAGCCTCCAATAGAGACGCGTTGTTGACGCTGATTAACCCCGCCTTCATCCCATCAGTTGACCTATCCTGTCTCAGAACCAGGGCAGAAACCGGGAACGAAAAAGCAAAACCACAAACCACCTTTGGCGCGGCTAGCAGCAATATCTAGTAATAGGAGTAAGAGTAGTACGTGCCTGTAGTAATATCAGTAGTAATACTGGGAGAGGTTGACAGTAATACGCCAGAAAGAGGGAGAATGGAGGATCGGGAGACTGCAGATGGGAAAATTGGCCGCCTATGGAATGGGTATAAGAGAGCTTCCCCGAGCAGTCGTTGAACTCTTCCCCCCCTTCAAAATACCTTCCTGCTCCTGCATCACTCTCTCTCATATAGCCCCTCTCGTTCGAGCCAATCGGCGTTCTCTCCTTGATAGCATCTTTTCGCTTTGTTTTAATTGTTTGTACCTTCATTATGATGGAAACCATCCTCGAAGACGAAGCTGAAGCTTCAGGCCTTGCTCTAGCCGACCCCGAGATCCCTCCTCTTCTCTATGTCGAGTCCAGCGAACAGCCTGGCGTCTATCGTCGCTCGTTCAAACTCGCTGACAATGTATTCCCTCCTTATTTAGATCCAATTCCTACTTGGATAAAGGCCCAGATCGCTGCGGACACTGCACCTCTGATACGCGGCACGACTCCAGACATGTTTCCTCCCCTCCTTTTCTATTCTGCTTCGCAGCCTCTTCCTTCTGAGTTTACCCTGCCATTCAGCGACCGTCCCAAAAGCTTCTATGTTTCCCTTACCCATGATAATTCCATTGTGAATATTCATGACACCTCCCTCAAGGCAAGGTGTGGTCCTGCCGCTCAGAGGGTCTTCCGCACTCCGGAGCTCCTGGAGAATATCTTCCTCAGGCTCGACATGGCTGCAGTTCTTACATGTGTTCAACGAGTCAACAAGACCTTCAAGCGGGCCGTTGATGGTTCACTTGCCCTGCAGCGCATGCTCCATTTCAAGTTTGACAAGAACGCCGAACCCGGTCTCCATCCACAGGCAAAGTACAACAGAGATGACCGCGTGGAATTCCCCATCTTCAACAGTCTCCTGGTTAAGCATTTCGGGAGCTGCTTCTTCGACTTTGGTGACTTTTACGGCTGGCAGCGCCGAGCAGAGTCCTTCTACGAGAACAAATGGACGCGCCACCACCACACTTTAAACGTCGATATGATGTTCGGACGCCAAAAGATATACAGATCCGTAGGCCCCGAGCTTGATAGCTTGGAGACCCTCCAGGCTAGCCAGGACCGAGAGCGATTCACCCGCGCTGGCGCGAGTTGGCGCAGGATGCTCGTGTGCCAGCCTCCAATCTATGACTTTGGCGCCATGATCTTCCAACCCGTCGATCCCTCCCGGCCTGCCCCCCAGAAGATGGAAAAGGCCATCATCAAAGCCGAAGACGACGAGTCGGGCCTCTGCATGGGCCAGCTCTACGACTTTGTCCAAGAACGCGCCGGCAACCACCCCCTCGATTCCCTGTGGTTTCGCGTCACCTGGTTTGATACACAAGGGCCGTTTGCATCCAATATGTGCCACGATACCGCCATTGAATGGGTCATTGACGGCGTGCCTGTGGTGATTGAAATGTTCCACAAGAGCGATAGCTTCCGTCCATTTCACCTACCAGACCCGCCGAATGCCGAGATATTTGACAAAACCTTCAAATGCAAGGACTTCAAGCCCCATCGATGGGTTCCGGACGAGACCGTCATTGATTACTGTGGCCAAGGATACGAATCTGCTTCGCCGCTGATGGACAAGGGCAAACAAATGATCTGGAGTGGATTTCCAAGTATGTGGCCAGGTAAACCAGTTTCTTTCTCCCTCTTCCTATTCATGATAGGTATGCTAATCCTGTTCAAGTGGTGTAAGCGCCAATACTTCCATGTTGCAAGCGGGCGGGTGGGAGGGCAACATGGGGGACGGCTAGATTGTTTTTTTGATTCTTTTTCGTTTTGGATTCAGCCCTGGGTTGCCTCTTGGCTAAGAGGTCAGGATGAGGGCGTTTGGGATGGGACTGGCCAGGATGGCCAACGGTCTGGCGTTTATTGTCAGAAATGGATAGGAGCTTCTTCCTCGGCTACGGAAGAAGCCTTGATTGGGTCTTAGAGTTTTGCGGCAGCAATAAACATGGAATGTACTCTAAATAATGGTTTGTTTAGATAGGTGGATGGATATGGAAATGGCTGAGCTCTTTGGCTGCTCATCTGGTGTCTGTGCCCCCATTGTTCAATAAGCCCAACAGCGGCATTGTGTCCGAGTGATTCAAATGTAATATGGGATTCCTTTGTTCAAAATGAAGGAAAAAGAAAATAAGAAAAGATTCCTCTTCGCATAGGCCTCCAGTTGTTCGTGTATCATAAGCGTCATCAATTCTAAACAAAGGTCGGAGAGAATTCCAAGCGAGGGTCAGAGAGAAGTGTGATGTCCAAACCTCAAACTCTGTAGGACTTATCTAACAAACAATGGTAGTCCTGAGTATGATGCCTGATAAAGGTTTCGATTGATGGGTTGCGTTGCTTTGATGCCGCTGGGCGTCGGCTTTGGACAACTGCTGGCGGACTGCCGTGGATCAATGCTACATGTACCATTCAGACATGCTGACTGTTCGCCCCCGAGCAGCCTGTACATTTCATCTGCACAAGATCCATCCTATATTTCACATTCAGCACATTAAAAATGCTGGTCTTGGTTTCTTCCACGAAATGCATTGTCCTTCTACTTCAGGGGCAGCTGATTCCATGCCTGACATGAGGGGTGATAACTGTACAAACTATTACGTCGTCATCCGTTCAATCTGCAGTTTACCTACCTAGCTATAATGTTATGCATAAAGAACTGTAAGTTCAATGTAGAGAATCATGGCCTTACACCCTTGAAGCCCGCTGTTCAGTTGCTGTGCAGCTGTAGTTAGTGGCCACCCCCCCCCCCCTGGAACAGCGACCATTCACTTCATCTACATCCTCTGCAGCTCTCCAACATCTTTTGGAATTATAAGAACGGGAAAATGTTCCTGACACGTTATAGATGTATGCAATCTCTTCCAAAAGCCATATACGAGCTCAGCCTAGGAGTGCAGCCTAAATATGCGTCACCATCCTCGACGAAGAGAAAGGAAGCAAGCAACATCTCTGCCCGCACGTGATTCTTCGCCACACAGGGCATTAATCTCTAGGCTGTTAATACTCTACCTTCCTTTTGTCCTTTTCAAAAATCTCGCCCTTGCCATCGACATGCCAGAACCAACTTATTCGTCCACTGCAGCCAGCATTGCTACAACCCAAGGTAGGTGAATCGCAAGGCATTCATCAAAGGGGGAAGACGCCCGAACATCTCTCCCACCCTGTTGTAGAGATTGGCCCTGAGGGTGGCTCGTTACTTGCTCATCTGTGGACAATCGTCTCCCCTGACGCTGCGATCGCATCACAAAGATTTCAAGTCAAGAACCAGTCTCGAGTATTCCATACTCCGCGTATCCCTCCTTCTATTTGATCCTTAAAGGAGAAATTCACTGACCGATTGAAGCCAGAGACAGGTTGATCTACACCTACCTATACATGCTTGATTCACAAGGAAACATCTTCTCCTGCGAATGGCTCTACCTTCTAGCACAGGTATTTGACAACGTTGCTGACATATTTCTGTACCTCTACTCGCCAACTACAGTATCCTCTGAGCAATAGGAAGCATCATTCAGTTGCCGCAATTTAAGCCGTCGCCTCGTTGACTGAGGAATCATTCTTCTGTTGAGCAAGTTCTCCAACGATGCTCGCGTCTTCGCGGATGTTCTCTCCCAGTTAGAATTGCGACTACCTACCGACAATCTGCAAAGTGGCGGAGAAACTGGACATGCTTGTTTTTGCTGACATCAGAATGGTTCTCCCGATGAAGACTTCTGACTATCTGACTCAGTATACTCTGACTAGCACCGCCAACGCAAGCTGGAGTGGTATCCTCGATTGAAGGGCCGCCCTTCTAATATCTCCTAGGAGTAATAACTTTCCACACACTTTCGAGAAACTTCCAGTCAAGGTTAGTGACTCACCATGTTCGGCATTCTGACACTCACTGAAAAGTCAATGACATAGATCCCGATGGGAATAAGATGACGCTCTCGTTGTATTGAAGCAGCTGTCCTATCGAGGTAGATTCGCCACCTACGCCAGTATACCATTGTGTCTAACATGTTTCAAGTTGTGATACTCCAGGTTGTAGATGTTAATAGAGAACTACAGCAGCGTTTCCAGAGATACCTGACGATGACGACTATCCGTGAAACATGGCTGCTGCCCTTGGTAGGTATACCTCAAACCTCTTTGCGATTGGAGAGTTCACATGGAATCTCCGTCCAACCATGTCTCATGTACTAATATTTCCCTTTGGCATCTATGGCTAGATTTCGCGAAGATCTTCGAATTTAGAGTTATAGTCTCGCTTTGTTGCAACTAAATCGCATACGAGTGCAAGAGCATAACACCGACCACCGATCGATTGCGAGAGAGAATCCCACAGAGATTGAGCGAATAAGCATTGCGCTACATGTACCGCGAACAGGCAACGAACGAACGGACGAACAAGCGAACGGGTACCTCATGGTGCGACGGCGATCGGACGAGCGGTTTATAAGGGATACTGGGGATATTAACTGGGGGCTTGAGAGAGCAAAAAAGGATGAGGCTGAGAATGCCACTTGATCATCCAACCATAATGACAGATTTACAGTTTGTCCGTCAATTTGACCTTCGTCTCCGTTAGAGCAAGTAAAACTGCCAAAATACGCTACGAAGAACCGGCCGATTGAAAGAATGAACATCCCAGCTACCAACCAAGGAGTTAATAGTTCTTCTATCCAGCAAACACAGGTAAGTCAAGTCTTCTTTATTTCACGCATCTCACCCCCCTCAGCTCACTTCCTTGGGTAGGGGAGTTAGATTGGTTCTCTATATTTCCGTGGAGGCACTGTTTTAATGCGAATACAATTCTATTTCCCATTACCTCAAGCTTTGATACTCAATCCCCTGGTGTCTATTCGTAATTTTGCTTGGCCGGCCGTCATATAATGACTTCAAGCAGACTCTTATCGATTTCTTATTTACAATTTGTCCGCCAGTCTGGCCTCCACTAGAGCAAAAACTTGCAAGAATATGCTACGAACAGCCGGCCGATAGAGATACAAACACACATGGTAAAGGAATGGATGTGTCAATTAAAGAAATGAACATACCAATTACCAAGAAGTTGACAGCTTTTCTACCCAACTTCCACGGGTAAGTCAAGTCTTCTTTACTTCACACATCTCATCCTTTGGCCTTGGGAATCAAATGGGTTCTCTCCTTTCTCACAGAGGCGTTGTTTCAATGTGCATATGACCATATTTCTCCTTAATTCCATATTGACTTTTCATTGACAACTTTGTATGGCCGGTCGTCATCTAATGAACTCAAGCAGACCATTATTAACTTCTTATTCCAGTTACGTCCCTCTAGAAGCTGATACTGCCCTGGTTGTCTAAAGCCCCGCCTTTCTATCCTCCTTGATGATGTCCGCAGCCCTTTCTGCAACAGCATAGACCATGGTCTGGATATTTCCCGCGACCTGAAGAGGAAAGATACTGGCGTCGACTACTCTCAGCCCTTTGGTACCATACACTCTCAATCTGTTGTCTACAACACCACCTTGCTCCCTTGGCTTCATAGACAAGCTACATGAGGGGTGGAAACAAGAGACTTGACTTTGACGAACAACCTCCCTAGCGTTCTCCAAACTATCGCCCCTGACCTGTGGAATGCGAGCGCCATCAGGCTTGAAGATGTCTCCAAAGGGAGAGGTACGAAGAAGTAATTCAACGAATTGGACGTGGCGTGCCGAAATTTCCAGATCCAACGGGTTCGAGTTGAATTTAGGATCCCAAGTAGGAAGCTTGTCAACATCATCACTGGTGATGTGGATGCTTCCGCGGGAAAGGGGATGGTTCAACATTGTCATGACTGTCAGATAATTCTCTGGGCTTGTCGGCAAGAGGTAATCCGCCATGCTAGGCGGGTCGTCCAAGACACTGTGCGCCTGTGAAGGAAAGAGAACATACTGGACACTTGGCTCATCCGGTTCTTCGAGGAGCTTGCGAACCATCTTTCTATCTTGAGTCTGTACATGCTCGTCATACGAGGCAAACAGCGCTTTCTTCGCGTCTTGAGAGTAGACACCCTCTTCATCAGCAAGCGGCACATATGCAACGCTGATATTAGATTGACCCAAGGGGCCCTTGCCGCCGTCTTGGTATTGCTGTAAAAGAGCATTGAGGATGGCCGGATCCCGTAACACGTCTGCCGAAGGAACTCCAGGATTGACTTCAAATGACTGGCATGTAATGGGATGATCCTGCAGATTCTCTCCGACATTAGAGTTGTCAACTATGACGGGAATATCCAGGCTCTCGAGGAGTGACCTGCTACCAATACCGGAGAGTTCGAGTATCTGGGGCGACATAAGAGCTCCTGCAGCGAGGATGATCTCGCCACCACTCAGCGTCTTTTCACTGCCATCCTTTGATCGGGTGAGCACACCAACAGCAACAGGTTCGGCTTTCGAAGTGTCGAAAACAATTTTCTTGACCGTCGTCTCCGTTAAAACTGTCAAGTTTGGTCTGCTCGCAATCTCGGGAGTATAATGCGCGCTCGCGGCATGACTCCTTGTTTTAGTGGCAGGATTGATACTACCGCCTTGCTGAAATGCTCCCAGGCCTTTCCCAGTTCGCGGGTCTGTTTCCATCTTCAGCCCAAGCTTGGAAAAGGTCTCCATCCAGACTGCGTTTGCTGTGCTGTAGCCTTCGCTATAGGAAACCTGGACGGGCCCATTGCCAATGAGTGAGTCGTCGTGATAAGCGAGACCAAGGGTTTCCTTAGCAGCTTGAGGAGGAGGGTGGACCGTCGCGAACTTGCGCAAGTACGGCGAGAGGGAATCATAGTCCCAGCCCTGATTTCCCAAGGTACCCCAAGCGTCAAGGCTGCCTCTGGGAGGAAACAAGGACATCATAAAGTTGACCGTAGATGACCCTCCCAGCTGCTTGCCTCGAGGCTGGTTGATAATCCGGTCGTTGAGTCCCGGCTGGTAGTTGATGTCAGTCCAAGACTAGGTCACTATCTTCCCCTACTGGAGCTACCCACCTGAGGTGTTGAGCTGAAGTTCCAATCGTATTCAGGCTTGCCATACATCCCAAGGACAAGGCCTGGGGTCTGAACGAGAGCATCACCGGTGCGATCTTGCCCGGCTTCGATCACTAGGACCTTGATATCTGCATCTTCGGTCAAGCGACTGGCAACTGTCAGGCCGGCCGTGCCACCTCCCACGATAATGTAATCAAAGAGATCTACAACGGAGCCCATGATCGGCTTATGGATGGAGGGCACCTACGGGACCGTAGGTTCTGACTCTGCGGCCGTTCGAGAACCCGTTGATGCTGCTTCTCACAACTATAATGGAGAATCCGAATACTTGTGAGATCAACTCTGGACGTCCTTCGTCCTTTAATACTTTTAGGCATACCGTATTGCCTCGCGAAATTCGATGTTGGACCGTTCCTAAAGATAGTAATTGCTAACATAAGGAAGCTGGCCTCTTTCTTCTCGGGCGAAAGTAGGGTTTAATTCTGGGGACATCCACCATCGAATTCTGCGAGGTACTACCTAATACGGTATGCCAAGGACTCTCTTTATACTTTGAGTAAAGAAAGTTCTTCATCAATGCGGGAATTTCCTCGCATTATCTCCGTCAACCTCCGAGATGTTGAGCGTATACGAGGATTGCAAATCGTTGACGGAAGGATGCTCCATCGGAATCCTTTGGGTAACTTGGCCGTGTAACACATGGTCGCACTGAACAAGGAGCTGCTGCAGTGGCCAATTACAACGGGGCTACGGAGTACTTACATACATGAATTACATATGAGCTGCTCTGTTTCATTCAGTCCATCGTTGGTTGTTGGCCTCGATGCTCTCATACGACCCCTGGCCCCCGGCTTTCCTAAATAGGTCCTGGTTCAACTTCCGTTCAAAACCTCCATTGGAAGTCAGCTGCCGTGTATAGAGAGACATCCACGTGGGATCGGCCTCAAGATGAAAGACCACTGGTACTCCAATGCCGCTCAGGATTTTAATATTCTGTTCCAGACAGTCTGAAAATCGGTATTCAACTGCAGATTATCCACTCTGCCGACCGGGTTGTGGATCCTTCGCGGTGTTCCTAGCTCTTGATGACTTCCATGCACTTCAGTACGGTGTGTTGTTCCCGGCCAACACTCGGATACTTTATGGTGCCACGTACTCCTTTTTTTGCCTGTACAACCATTCACAGTGCAGAGTACAGAATGCAGAATGCAGGGTGATGCGATAGTGTGATGGAGCCGCAGAAACCACAAATACGAAGTGTGCATGGCCCTGCAAACGATAATATTTCCGATTGATTCGGGTGGTTGAGACGCACCTGACGATCAACTGTGTCCTGGTTTTTACCGCTGTCTTTATCGTTGGACTTTGACCCTTTGACTGCTTGGCAACTGGACAGAATGTTTGGTGGGACGATTATTGGATCCTTGCCAGTGCCTCATGTTTTTAGCATGCTTGTTATCCAGAGACTTGTAGGTTTCTCTTCTGCCAAATAATGGATTCAGGCCTTCGTTTGACAAGGTGGTTTATTGATTGATATAACCAGGTCCACTGACGGGAAAGGGTCGATCCATTACTGAGACGCTGCCGAATATCGTCATTATCTTGAAGTTGGCCATACCGTACGCGCGGATGGTATACGGCGGAGATATTTCAGAGTCCTTTTCTTATATCTCTGAGTCTTCGTAACCTTTTTCTGGTATGATGGAGGATATGATGGTCTTAAAAGACGTACAGTCCTAGTTACGCTCGACGACGAAATTTTTCCTTTGAACAGTGCAAGGAGATTCCGGTGAAGAGAACAAGCTGCAAAGCAATCTGCCATTTTCTGCCTCCATGAGAAGAGTAACCATTGAGCGAACCTCCGGCTACTCAAGTCTCACGATTCTTTCTCAGATGTTTCCTTCTGGCGGTCGGCTCTCTTGGGTATCACTTGCTGACAGCATCTACAGCAGAGACTTACCGCCCACGTGTCGCGAGTGTTTGCGTCTCTTCATGACTGTCTTTGTGGCTAAATATGTGGAATGAGCATGAAGAGACAGCCTATGCCTAAGTTTGTTCGCGTGGCTGGCAGTTTTGACGCTGCCCTTTGTTTGTTGGCTTCGTCCGATACTCAAGCCAGAGGGAGATGGACCAGACCAAGTGCGCTCTGGTTTACTTAGCGCGATGAAATGAATGTCGATGTTCCTTTGAGACGGGGTATGAGATCGAACTCCTGTTTGGCAACAAGGATCAAATTAGACCTCCAAAGGAAAAGATTTCCGACTCGCATCCCAGAGCTTCTTTCCTACGCAGAGCAAGCACCATTTGCAACACCCCTGCCAATACTATTCAAACGAGAGCCCTAAAGCGCATGAAAACAAGAGCCGCAGAAATGGTCGTTCAAGATAGCTCACATGGTCCGGCTAGTCACTTGTTGGTTATGCCTTTGGGTAGCGAAGGCGCATCAACCTGTGAAAAGGGAGACAAGCCATTTGCCATCCCATCAGCGATGATTCAATTATTTCAACGCCGAGGACTCATTGGTACCGTAGTCAACGCTTAGTCGATATCTGGATTTGGTGGATTGTTGTCTCTCCGATATCTTTTTTTCAGCCAATGGAGAAGCCAAAGAACAAGCAAACAGACAGCCCCGACCTAGCTGCGTATATATCACGGGACTCACAATAAATAGCCCAGAGGTTATTTTTAGTCGGGCGTGGCGAACGGTTGTTATCAAGCTCAGTGACCAACGGTGGTGTCTTCTCTTCGGCGTTAGGGTTGGTCAACTCAGCCTCATGATGGGAGCATATGCATGCAGGCCGCACGCTTATGCATTCCCATCTGGTAGCTACGCGAGAGTAATGCATGATTGCACAGAAGCAATCTAGAATGTCCAACTCACGCACTTTGAGGGTCATTTCCACATGAGCGACTGTCTGAGCTCACCGAGAAGCTAGGCTTTGCTATCGAATACGTTGAAGCACGCCGTCTCCCTGTATTCAGCTGAGGAGGGTACTCAGCAATCTGTCACGCCGTCCTGTTAACCGCTGTTAAGATTTATTAACTGGTGTAGTCTCGGAAGAGAAAAGAAGAAGCAATGTCGAGCTGGAGCAGGGACCTTTAGTCGCATACGTGGCCGATGCGCCACTCGGCAACCGTTTATTCTGATGAGACGGTTGCAAGACTTCTTGATGACATGAGAGTAGTACTTTCTTGTCACACGCGCCAAAGTGCACAATCGTGATTGGAGCATTGCAGGAAAAAGAAAGACATCATCTTCTCGAGCAGAAGTCTCAGTCGGTAGGCCATTCTGTGTCTGTCGGTTATGACAAAATAGGCTCTTTCTGAATTATGACCAATTCTCGGCGCTCCATGTCGTTATCCATGGGGAGGGAGCATCCTAATGGCTGTTTCTCCATATATTCGTTGATATCAAGGGCTCGAACGTGCCGCGAGCACTGCCAACCGTGCTATCCTGGCAGGGTACGCTCGAGCCTCTGCCCTCTCTCCTTGCATACACTATTGAAAATTCAGAGTTTTGCGGTACTCTTAGTGCTCTTTCAGGAGAGGATGTCGGTGCCATCTCTGGGAATGCCTTGTTAGCAGGTCAACGCAGGACTCCACGCCGGCTCCAGCCAAGACACCTCCTGAATTTTGTCTCGCGGAGCAATGAAGCCCACAGTGAGGCGTCCGGCTTTCCATCATACCCTTCCAAGCCTACTGAGATAAGCCGCAACCTCGGGACTCTCCGCGGCGCCAGAATATGATCAGCTGCAACCAAAAACGACCGAAAATATGGGGAGACGAAAAAGCCTTGGACGTTTGCGGTGGGATAGCCTATACTGTTCTGTACCCATGCAATTGTTCGCCGCCCCGGCTGAAAGTCGAATGCTGAAAATGTGAAAAAATACAGAAATCAGCTGGAGCTGATGCCAGAAAGAGAAGAGGCAGCCCGAGGAACAATCCTGGGGCGATAGTGGTGCTTAGCTGAATCTGTACCAAGCATCATGCAATAGTGCCTCTCCGGATTTGCATGAAATGGCAAACGGCATAACCACAGCGCATTGCCACAATAAGTAAGAGGCTGACACAAGCATTGGTTGGATTTTGCTCGAATTGCCCCTCCCCTCAGCTGAATACTGTTAGGGCTGGAGGTTCAGCACTGTCAAGTCCGAGCGATACCCATGTCAATTTGGCCGGGGTTGCCAAGATGCAGTCGATCTCCCGTTTGGCATAGCATGTATAAGTCGTGGAGTAAGGAATGCGACTGCATCCATAGCGTCGGTTCAAAACAACACTCGTATTGTCTCGGCCCCTTTACTGTCTTCTTTCGGGAACCAAAACAAAGACAACCATTAGTCATTTCAACTCGGGCGTGTAGTATTTCTTGTGGCGGACGGTCCGACGGAGAGCGACCTCTATCACCTTTTCCTTGCTGATGGCGTCTCTGGTTAGCGCATTATGGGATGCAAGGGAGAAACTCGGTCGTTAAGTGCTACAAACGGCGCCGGAGTGGTTTCACGGCTCATCTTGCGAGCACACGAGGAAGCCAAGATTGGCCGACTCTAGCTCTGACCAGTGATCGAGCTAACACTGGAAAGCAGCCGGGAGCTGCATCCAAGCACCGAAATACCTCTAGTGAGTTCTGATGCTGCGATTGTGAGTGGTCCTTTCTCAATAGGAGGGTGGATCTATGCCTCTGATTGGTATACCAAGCTCTTCCTCAACACCATGCCGGCTGAAATAGTGTTCAAGGAAAGACAGTGCGTTCCGAGGCACTGTATCCGATTCGCCAGCCTGTGTGCTCGCAAAAGACGGCTGGAGACGCTAGGGCCTCGACAAATTCCCATATGTTAGCAATCATTGTTGTCATTAACGTGATGATCACCGTAGCTCTGCCCGTAGTCAGAACGCCAGGATGCAATAGGTAAGAGAAGATCAATGGAAGAAAGTCTCCCTGAAATGCGAGGCTGAGACACATGCATGTCTACAATCTGAAGCTGCGGTTGGCCCCAACGGTAAAACTTGTTCAAAGCAAACTTGAACATCTGGATCCAGTCATCATGCTGCAGAATGTAATCAGTGACAGCTGTCCTGCCCATGGCAGCTTCGAGAGGTCGTCTCCATTCCAGTTATTGTTGGGTAATGGGAACTGATGAGTTTGATCCTTCTTCTTCTTCCTTTTTTTTCCTTCTTCCTTCTTCTCTGCTCCACTCGGGAAGGAAATAGTCTCGAGAACCCTCCCGGTGGCGCAGCTGAACTTGAGCTTCTCCATTGGTGTTACTGTGTTGCAACGTACCACCCGCGATTTGGTCTGGAAAGCGAGCAGACTAGTAGGGTGGCGCGTTGATGCTTGTCATGGCCAACCGAGTCTCGGCCCTAAAAAGACGGGAAGATAGAGCGCTCAGCATGCATCACAACGTGCCGCAGCCCGCCCAGAAACAGACTGGGGAAACGATGGTATCAAGGTTCGACCTTGCTGATCGAATTGCGGCGCTAGCCTTCGGCCGAGTTTGGTTGGGTGGAAACATTGATCTCTAGATGTGCCGGCGATCTCAGCGCTTCAACCTTTAGCCTTGCCATCGGTGCCTCTGGGCCAATCCTTCCTATCCACCCATCAGCCACGCAAGTGTGCTATCGGCGTCCATCTCAGTGCCTGGATAGCTAGCCAACTAGCCTCAGCCCGAGCTTCAAACCAAGACGCTTCCTGGGTTGTGGTGTGGCGGCCGGCTCCATTGAATTTGCAAGCCAACCTTTCCGTCCTGCAGAGCCACTGTTCTTTTGTTTTCTGCTTTTTCTAATGCAGGTCTCAATATTTAATTTGGTCAAGTGGAGAGGAAGCCGGCTCGACGTTGTCACAGTCCTGGCAGGGTTTGATGACCAGGGACTGCTTCCTTGCATAAGCCTCCTCCAAGCTGCAAAACACATGCAGGCATAAAGCAACGATTATATGATTCCGATGGTTTGTCCCTTTGACCTGAATCTTCCGGGGATATTCAGTCCATGCATGTGCACACATGCGTAATCTTTAAGGTCCCTTAATCGATCAATTTAAGAATTCGACAGACCCTCTCTCGGCTTTTTTGCATCGTCTTGCATTCATATTTGGCATCTGTTGATCCCAGAACAAACCGAAATATATTCGTCATGGCGTTGCTTTCCCTCCAGTATCGGCGACCCAAGAAGGTTGACTCTGAGGCCTACCGGCAGCGCCGAGAAGCGTTGGAAGATTCTGCCGAAGGATCTGTCAAGTCAGGAGTTTCTGGCGCTTCGTCCGGTATTCCAGATGCCTTGTGCTTTGATAGAATCATCAACGGCGGTACCTGTCCAGTAAGACTGCCTGGTTCCTCTTTCCAGCTTTGTATCTCTAACGTTTGTTGCAGCCCTTGGCTATCCGCGACTTCATGAATTACCTCGTCTATGTTGAACATGCTGCCGAAAACCTCCAGTTCTATCTCTGGTTCAAGAATTACGAAAAACGCTTCGCCGAGGCTAAGGGTAGTGACGTTTCCCTAGCCCCCGAGTGGACTCAAGCCATGGAGGACGAAGCTGTTGCCAAAGTTCGAAGAGAACAGGTCGATAAAATGAGGCGAGAGCCTGCAGCAACGGCCGCCATCTTCAAGGGAACCGATTTTGAAAAGCAACCCTGTGGCAAGAAGGCCAATCCTTTCAACACCCCCCCTCGATCTCCGAATGGTGTCTCAGAAGACCATGACACGCTGACGACATCATGGGAGACCATGACTTCGGACGGAACATCAAACGCTCAGTCCACCTCCAACGCTAATTCGCGGACACAAGCTGCAGAAGCTTTCGTGACAGCCGGTGCTAGACTCCCCTGTAAGTCACGAAGAGACAAACTGTCCGCATATGAGGCGAGAGTTGTCGCTGACCATAGTGCCCGTTCTTGCAGTTACCATTCAACCCTTTCATCAGGAGATCAATCGCATTATAACAAGCTACCTCATGGACGGTGCTCCACGGCAGCTTAACTTGGCTGCGTGGGAGCAGAGAGCAACCGTCCAAGCGCTCTCTCACACGACGCATCCATCTGCGTTTCGGATTCTCTTCAAAAGTGTTGACTCGGCACTTCGACTCCAGTCGCATCCCAACTTTATTCGGTGGTCCATCTGCAACGGCAATCTTCCTCGAGTTTGGTTCGCTCGCTTCCTTGGTATCGCTCTCATCATAATAGGATTTGTCATCGCCATCGTCCTCACTCTGAGCAGGGCCGGACGCGGCTACCGAGTTCTTCCGCTCATTGCCTGGGTGTTGGGAATGAGCACATTGGTAGCCGCCCACAAGGGCATGTGTGTTGTCCTGCACGGCTTGCATCACCGGCATGTCCGCCCGTGGGAGCTGTTCACCCAGGATGATGGAGAGGAATTCGGCATGTCAAACATGGAATCATTCGGCTCAAACAATAGCTACGAGGATGAGCCGTGGGTAGTCAAGTATCAGGAACGGAACATTGTTCGTAAAATCTTTGACCGTGAGATATGGATCCAGGAGCCTGCTTTGAGGCAAATCCAGGACACCATCTTTTGCCAAGCACTGCTGGCTGGTCTCGTTTTTGGTCTCATATTCATGGCAGTTTTTCTTGCTGTCCCAGGAGGCCACTTCTTTTGAGGTGGGCCACATGACAGTGGCAAAAACACAAACTGTGATAGTTTGAATTGCGACATCTCTGTCTGTCTGTCTGTCTGTCTCGTCTGCCTGTTTGTTTTGTCTGTCTCATCTGCCTGTCTGTTACAGGGACCAAATTCCGTAAATAAATTTGAACGCATGTCAATGAAAATTCGAGTAAACTCCGAAGCCGCCACCTGCTAATCGTTGCCATTGCCGTGAAATCGTGTTTGTTGAAAAAGTCATGCCGAGTCATTATAGTTGTCTTTTTGCCGTGATACATCTTGCCGTGTTGTAAAGCCGCCTTGTGAGAAAAAGTAGACAATGTAGAGAAAGTAGACAATGTAGACAACGTAGAAAAAGTAGAAAAAGTAGAAAAAGTAGAAAAACCAGAAAAAGTAGAAAAGATAAAAAGGTTAAGAAAAGAACAGAAAAGAACGGAAAAAGTCGGAAAAGAGTAGAAAAAGTCGGAACAGAGTAGAAAAACTCAGAAAGGTTGAAAAGGAATAGAGAAGTTAGATAAAGATTAGAAAAAGTAAGAAAAAAAATCAGAAAAAATCAGAAAAAATCAGAAAAAGATCAGAAAAAGAAAAAAAAAAGGAACAGAAAACTTGAATAAAGAACAGAAAAAGTTGAAAGGAAAAAAAAGAGAAGAAGAGGAAGAAAAGTCAGAAAATTTCAGAACGATGCTATGCCAGAAGTTGTCCTGAGCCTCGTATCTTTTCCAACTCCATCATGAACAAGTATGGCAATGCTCTCACAGCATCATTGTCGTAATCAATCATTGCGTCAGTCATGATAAAATCGCTCATTTCTAGGTAAGCGTCTCTGAAACATGCCCAGAGCTTTCTCAGGGCTTGTATGTTGATGAAGCGTGGCCAGAACGGCTCATTCTCCATCACCGCATCTACAAGTTGCGTGACGACTGCCTCGGGGTTTTTGGGGAAAGTCGCACAGTCGGCGAAATCAATCAACCAGAACTGCACGTGGCCTCGGGTGTCTCTCCCCAGGACAAATTCAACACCTCGGGCATCGACGCCACAGCTCCAGTGAAGTATTGCGAGCGTCGCACCCATAGAGGCGGCGAGATACGATACTTCGACGCGCTCCGCAAGCAGGTGGTCCAGATAAGCTGGCCGGTCGTGCATTTCAGTGTTCCATGGATCAGACAGTGGTTTTGTATCTCCCAGATAGACCTTTGCGAGAAAATGTTTGGACTGGCAGGTACTGAGAGCTTGGCCCTGGGCGCTCCGGGTCAAGTATCGTTTGATGAGATACTTGGTATGGTGCTCATTCAAAGGGCGAATGTACTCCATGAAGTATCCGCTTGCGTCAGCAGGAAAGCCGTTCAAATGCTTGAACGTTTCAGAGCACGGTGAGGATGAAATGTTTGGATAGAAACCTGAACACTCAGGCACAAATGGAAGATCAACGTCGAAGCCATGCATGGTCAAATGTTTGGACATTGCCTTGAATGTTGCATCAACATTGGAGTGAACTTTGTACTCTCTAAATATCCCCTTTGTGTTCCTCGACATCTTGGTAACGCGAAATGGTGGCATGTTGGCAACAAAGATCCATGCCTTGTCTGTCTGAGCAAGAAGATGGGCCTGTAGTGCATATCTTAGCATGCTGGAAAAGGGAGAGCTTGGGTGTGCAAAAGATGAGGCTGTTTAGAGATGCAAATAAGACTGACATGAGCCCAGAATGCAGAGATAGTTGAGCAGAGGCATCTTGACATGAGAGTTGTCCTCCTGGTTTTTTGTTTCTTGTCGACTGGTGGCGGTGTGAGGATGATGTCTCTTATGCGATCCATGGTAGACACCGCAAATAGCAATAGTTGAGAGGCTAAAGGGTTGATGGAGGACTCGGCTGGTACCGCAACGGAGGTGTGCCACAGGGGAAAGGAGTCCATGGATGCCGATTTAAAGGACGCCTCCTGGAAATGGTTCAGGACTGGCGACGACGACCATGGCTATTATACCGACACTGCCGTGCAGCCAAGGCCATATTTGCATCATTATCACAGCCCTATCGCTCCAAGACGAGTTAGTATTAGCTTGGTGTATTTGGTATGCGAGGCGTCTTCTTACCTGTATGTCCACTCAAAGAGGGGGACGAAGCTGCATCTGTCGCTGATGAGGGGCAGCGGCTCGCCCGGGCTGCCCTGGTTGATAGGTTGGCAGGGTGGATCACGGGGAGAAAGGCAGATATATGAAGCAGCCTTCTTATTGTCGATTGGCTTTTAGTCTGTTTGTAATAGCGTCTGGTGTTGAAGTAGCCGGGTGAAGGAACGATTGTCTGGGTGCTTGCACAGGTTTCTACCATGCTGATTGTGGCGCTGGACGGCCAATCTGGCTCAATCCTCCAGAAGCGAGCGATAAGATGTCCAGAAAGCTACTCTCCCTCTGCAGGTGGGCAACTCTCAGCTACGGAAGAGCTGGACTCCATGGAAGATCCTTGATCGTGAGAACCTTGGAAGACGGGGCAGCAGCAGTCGACAGGGGACGGCACTTGTCTAGGCCAGTCATTGGTGGGGTTGGTGGTGATTTTAGCACGCTGTGGTACAGTAGTGCAGTGGGGAGAGGGGCCTGCACTGCTTTTTGGGTAGCGTCAACGCAAATGAAGAGAGGAACTTTGACTCGAGTCAAATCGAGAGAGAAGTTGGAGGATGAGGAGAAAGGATAGGAAGAAGAAGAAGAAGAAGAAGAAGAAAGAGAAAAAGTTTACGGAGCGGGGTTGAGAGGCCACGTATCTCGTACTCGTAGTTGAGCAAGGCGAAGGAAGGCGCGCATCATCGTATGGAGGGCCATCGAAGCGAAACTGAGTGGTTGAGGTAGGTGGGAAGCAGTGAGGAGGAAGGAGCTCAGCTCGGCAGAGTGAGGGGTACCTGCAACGCCAGAAAGCTTGAGGATGAATATACTCCCGGTAAGTGCTTGGTACCAACAACTTATAAACTCAAAGGCCCGAGTGAGGAAGGCAAAAAAGATTGAGTTAGCCTGGCTGTCCTCCATCCCGGAAAGCATCATTTTCATGCCTTAAACCGACTGTAGCCTTGATGTTTGCCGTCAAAGCAAGACGGCTCGTGTAAACTAAATTTTGGTGATATGAAAAACCTGGCGAAGCTTTTTGCGCCATGATTGCCTCGACTCGAATGGTTTCGTCTCTCTGGCATCATTGTTATCATTGTTGTTTCCGCAAGGGTGTCTTGGACATGTTCGACCACCCAATGCTGCGCGGTGATACGTCAACTCAGACTTCGCGTAAAGCATACCGGCGGCATTGGTTTGTCGTAGCAGACACACCGTCGTCGTGCCGTGTGGTGGACGAGGTAGCAATCAAGGCCCAAATGACATTCTGGCCCCTCTGCTTTGCTTCTCGTGGTCTAGAAGCTGGTCTCAACCTCGTGCCATCTTATAGCCCAGGGCACTGCTCTGTCGTGCCGCACCATGAGGTTGCTTAGCTTGGATGGCCAACGTTGGGCTCACTCGATGCCCTACACCTTGATGAGTCGGCGCTGCTAAGCGGACGGAGCCGATTGGTGAGGTTGTGTAGCGTCCTCGTTGGTAGCGTGCAGGAAGCGTGCTGGCTAGCGACGTTGGAAAGCCACCATGCAGACCTGGTAGCGAACATGCATGAGGAGGTCGTTGAAGACGGGAACACACAATAGATTAGCCGGAGAAGCTGGGCTTGTGATCACTTGGAGGATAATCTCTAGTGGGTTTTGTGGTATCTCGATTTTCTGGCGGCTTGGAGACGCATGGCGAGGCGGCAATGATTGAGAATATGCAAATGCTCTCCCGTGTGCGATCCGATTGAAACATCCACTTGTCTCCGTCGGCCGCAATCATATCCGCCCCGAATCCGGAACAAAAGTGCCGGTGAGCCCGCGGGCTTATTCTTGGGCATATGTTTATATCCCGGGCACTGCTTGTACGCCCGGCTGCTGGAGACGAGGCCACCAGGAGATTGGGGACATACCACTGTCTTGTGGGTCATCTTCTATTGTCAGAGGGACGAGTTTGCTTCTGCTGTCGAGTATGGAGAATTACCGAGAAAGAAAATTGCTGAGCGTAGAGATCGGAGATCCCACCGTAGTCTGCTTTGTGTTTATATCAAATCGGGCACCATCACCATACACTAGGAATGATGCCTATTCCCGGCCGTCATATGTGAAGGCGGAACTCGTATTCAATACCCTGATCTTGTCGAGTATCATGCAAATGCTCGATTCGAATACATGATAAGGACCCGCGGGTTTGATAAATTTCTCGTAGGTCGTACTTTGAAGGTGACATTTCTCGTTTTCTCGTCACCGACATGGGGAAAATGGCATAATACAGCCAATGATGGCGCATTGATAAGGTCTCCAGTGTGCTTCTGGCGCCGAATCTTGGAGCACACAACAGACACGCCTCCAAGCGGCAAGCCTGGTGGCCAATGGTGGATGCAAGCTCGACTTCGGCACATGACCATTAAGCCTCGAAAGAAACCACGGCCGGCTTCATGACGGCCAAAAGCCGAACGCGGGGTCCAACAAGATACCTAGGCCAGTTGCCAGATCAACTCCCCAAATCTAGAACTCGGTGAGGGGAAATCGAAAGACATGGCCCGATGGGCTCCATATCGGAGCTCCGCTTTTCCGGTTCCAATCGGAGATGGCTGGCAGATTCGGGGGAGCAAGCCGTCCGTCCGATGAGGGAGATGGCGATAAAGAGGTTGCAGCAGCCTCGCGTGTTTTACTTTGATTTCCATTCCATCTCAGCCGAGATGATGAACATGAGATGTCCTCTGGCATCATGTAAAGGAAATCAGCCGACTCTTCAACATGCAGCGGGCATCTCCGAACAACATGTACAAGCACATCAATTGGTCGCCTTGTTCCGAGTCATGGTCCATCTTCACGGCTCCATCGCTTGTGACGGAAGAGCAGAACAAGCACGTCGCAACGCTCTCAATTCGAAAAAGGGGTTGGAAAGGCTGAACAGTCCGTACTGGTATGC